TGCCTAAAGAACCAAATATAAACACATTCAAATATGCACAAACATACATACATGGACTGTCTGTGGGGGGATGTACCACCACCTCGTGCGACGGCCGTTGAGTCGAAGCGTAAGCCTCTGGCGGGGTGGGTGTGCGAGCGGACGAGCACAGTTTTCCTTTCTCTCCGTTCTGATTGGCTCTCAACAACAGTGGGGACTCTGCCATAGGCGGTTCATTGGATGGAGTGCTCTGTGTGTTGTGTTTGCGGCGTTTTGATTAATCGAGCGTTCTGGTCTTTGGCAGAATTCCAATTTAATTGCTCATTGGAACAGTGCTCTTTATGTTGTAATTGGCCGATATGTATTGTTGGCGGGATGGACAACCAATGGGCAGACAACATAAAATGCTTCGGTTGTGACGTCCCATGAACTTATGACTCAGTAGACGGCCAGTGCAACCGACTCAAGTGACTGATAAGGACACACACACGCAAAAAACAAAGAACAAAAAAACCGGACTACCGTATGACCTGAGTCTTTGGCAAAGTGCATATATCAAACCCAAAACTATGAGATTCTGGACTGCTTATGGCCTGAGTGCATAGATCACACCCAACAGTATGCGATTATGGACTGCTATAAGGCCTGAGTTTTTGACGAAGTGCATGTATCACACCCGAAAGCATGAAATTCGGGCCTGCTTTTGGTCTGAGTGCATAGATCACACCCAACAGTATGCGATTATGGACTGCTGCACGTACGACCCGAGTCTATGGGCAGAGTGCATATTCCATATATGAGACCCAAGGATGCAGGTCGTGACAACACACACACGGCAAGCAATACAGCACGAGAACAGACGTACATAGAAAAACATACGTGGTCAGGCGAATCCACATGAACATACGCTTGCAGATAGATACGTGCACATGCGCATGCGCACACAACAGACGCATGGCTATTCTACAATACACACAAAACACAGGACTTATACAGGTATATGGATATCCATGTACATAAATGTATATGGGCAAAGCACACAGATACACACAAACACAGACACGCAGACACACAAACAATACAAATAACACACACACACACACACACACACACACACACCTGCACCATCGGAGCATGGCATTTATAGGATCGTATCTCCCCTCCGCCGTGATTGGAGCTCTCGTCTGCCGCGGAATCGCCTGTTGCGAGAACAGGACAAACACCGAATGAATAATCGATAAAACAGGCGGATGCATTGGGAAAGTAAGACAACATACAGGTACGACAGGAGGAGGAACGGGAAAAGTAAGATAACATACAGATAAGACAGGCGGATGGATTGGAAAAGTAAGACAACATACAGGTACGACAGGAGGAGGAATGAGAAAAGTAAGATAACATACAGATGGAACAAGAGGTTGCATTGGAAAAGTAAGACAACATACAAGTACGACAAAAGGAGCAAAGGGAAAAGTAAGATGACATACAGATAATACAAGAGGATACATTGGAAAAGTAAGACAACATACAGGTATGACAGGGGGAGGAATGGGAAAAGTAAGACAACATACAGGTACGACAGGGGGAGGAATGGGAAAAGTAAGACAACATACAGATAAAACAAGAGGCTGCATTGGAAAAGTAAGACAACATACAGATAAAACAGGGTGATTCGAAAAGCAAGAAAACATACAGATAAAACGGAGGATGCATATGGTAAGTAAGATACCATGCAGATCATGCAGATACAACAAGACGATGAATGGGAAAGAACGAAAACAAGCAAGATACCATGCAGATCATGCAGATACAACAAGACGATGAATGGAAAAGAACGAAAACAAGTATGATACCATGCAGATACAACAAGGCGATGAATCGGAAAGAAAGAAAACATTCGGAGAGGCTGTAATACGACCAGAGAGCCTAGAGACTAGGTATCTGAGTAGCAATAGAGTAAAACAGACGAGAAAGGAATACAAAGGGCATGTCTCGGTAAGCATAGTCACACAAAGTTGACCTGCAATACGGATAATGAGACGCACAGAACATGCGACCGACATAGCATCACGACGGCCTAGTAGGCTGCGCTCTGTACCATTACCCGGTTTATTATTCGACAGTTGACAACATAGTCGTGTCGAATTAGCACGCAGATAGCAAGTAAAACTTGTATTTAATTAGTGATAGGGCCTAGGTAGGTACGGCATCAGATGAAACACAATGGAAGACGAGGTATACACTACACAGGGGGTGTGGTCGCACCAGCAAGCCTTAAAGATGCAATCGGTCGCCTTTTGATACGTACGCACTACACAGGTTTATGGGGACACACAAGCAAGCATAACAGGGGCATTCAATCGCCTTTTAAGAAGACCACAGCACACTGGATATATGGTCATATAAGAAAGAACAAGACTTCAATTCGGCCGCCCTTCAAGCGCTTAGATACAGTCGCCTGCACCATTCGACTGCCCACCCCTCAAATACACAGCTAAAAGTTAAGTAGATGTACGGCCCACGGACTGCGTTTACGCTTTATATAGGTTGTCTCGCACCTATTCAACACGTGCCTAATTGATGGGAGCGTTAGTGCATAATATATACGCACTATTCCGAACTCATATGCACATACAGATACACATGCATCCATACCCACACACACTCACACACATGCACACACACATACCACTTGCTTGCAGTAGTTGGTTGTGCATATCATGAGCCTTCTCGATGCGCATTAGCAGTCCACTAAGCACCGTGGCTGTCTGGTGCGCCTCAACACCGGCGAATAACTTCTGAGTGGATAACAGTGTATCTGCGTCGGGTCTATTTGCCCCTGCCTTCTCCAGACACCCCGTTACAAACGTATTGAGATCATCCGACCACAGCTCGGGATTCTCCTGTGTTGGTGTGTGAATACATGTGAGAAATCATGTGTGCACATACATACATA